TAAAATGTGAGATGAGAGAGAGAAATTGAAGGCATTGTCAAGCAAAAAGGAACCAGAACTTAAAGATTTTGAAAATTCTCAGCCTATCCATATTGCAAAAAAAAAAAAAAAAAATGAGAAAGTGTGTTCTGGAGAAAACACCAAGGTATAGTGGGATAATCTCTCCAAAAAGAGACTGTGGCTGTGTCTCCAAGATTCAATTACGCATCTCAGCAGAAGCCAGCGCTAGAGATGGGGTTATACCAGCAGAAACACTGCCAGCTCGGTCTGAAGGAGACGAGACGGAGATGGGATAAAATGAAGGAAGGCCATCAGGCTTCTGGAATACTGTAGGACAGGATGATAGAGCCGTCCAGCTACAAACACGTGTTATCCTTTAAAACAGGGAAGAATGCCCGTGGAAGTGGTTCAGAGATCAGTAGAGCTGCCGCCTCTGCCACGGGCCCAGAGGGCACAGGTCCGGGGGGCCAGTCTGCCTCCTTCTTGGTTCCAGAAGGCGAGGTCACCACTTGGTTTCCATGAACTAGGCCGCTGCCAGGGCCTCGGGGACGGACCTCTGCCTGGGGCCAAGGGGGGGATGCACTGCCCCAGCAGGTGTAGAAAGTGAGGCTACCATCCTGGTGGGCCTAGAGGACTAATTATCAAGCCAAAAAGGATTATTCTCCAGTCTTAAAATCTAATTGAATTTGTCAAGCTAGATTCTGGGCTTTCTTGGATTTATAACTTCTTTCTTTCTGATTTCTCCTATTAGAATGGAACTGTCCACCCACACCTGTCTCACCAGTGTATTTGAAAGCAGATAACCTGTCTGGTTTCACAGATTCATGGCTGGAGAGGAATTTTGCCTTAGAACGAATCATGCCTTGAGTCTCACCCATACCTGGTTCGATGATATTTAGATGAGATTTAGGACAGAGTTCATGTCGCAATGGGTTAAGACTTTTGGGCTGCTGGGATGGGGATGACTGTATTTTGCATGTGAGAAGGACATGAATTATGGGGGTCCGGGGGGACGGGTTATGCCTGAAGTGTGTCCGTCCAGAATTTAAATGCTGAAGGCCTAACCCTCAGTACCTCAGAATATGACTCTATTTGGACACACGATTTTTAAAGAAGTGAGTAAGTGAACACGAGGCCATTAGAGTGGGCCCTATTCCAAGCTGATTGGAGTCCTTATAAGAAGAGGTGATTTGGAACCTCAGAGAGGCACCGGGGCACATATGTGCAGAGAGACACCACATAAAAAGGCAACAAGATGCATCCATCTGAAAGCCCATGAGACAGGCCTCAAAGGAAGCCAACCCTGCTACTGCCTTGATCTTGGACTTCCAGCTTCCAGAACTATGACAGATTTCTGTCGTTTATGCTACCCAGTCTGTGGCATTTTGTTAGGGTCACCAAGCAAGTTGCTACACAAATCGTGAAGGATGATTGAGTGATGTGTGAGACACTGACAGGGTTGGTGAGGCCTCCCAGGGAGGGTGACTTTGGACTGACAACCATAGGTGGGCAGGGCCAGGGGTGCTGAAAGCCAGAGAGAGTGCTCCCTGGGAGGGCGCTGCAGGAACTGGTACCTCGGGGGCAGGGGCTGGGGGTGTTTGGATAGAGCCAGAAGGCAGCCCGGGTGGGTGGAAGGGCAGGAGTCAGAGTGACAGGTGGGACCAGATCACACAGGGCCCTGGATCTATATATATTTATTGTAGCTATTTTCTTAGTGGTTACCTTGAAGATTACAGTTGCCATCTAATTTTGTAACGTCTTAACTCGAATAAGACCCACTTAGTTTCAATGGTATGTAAACACTCTGCTCCTATATATCTCCATCTCTCCTGTGTATTTTTATTGACATAATCACATCATTGTACATTATGTGCCCAGCGACATAGATTTATAATTATTCTTTTTAAAATTTGCCTGTTAAATCATAGGGGGGAAAAAGGAGAGTTACAAACCAAAAGTACTATGATCCTGGCATTTACATTCGCCCATGTAGTTTCCTTTGCCAATGTTCTCTATTTTTTCATATAGCTTGAAGTTACTGTTTAGTCTCCCTTCATTTCAGCCTGAAGGACTCTCTTTAACTTTTATTGTAGAGAAGTTTGACTCATATTGAACTCCATTAGCTTTTGTTTATCTGAGAATGTCTTAATTTTTCCTTTATTCTTTAAAGATTATTTTCCTGGATATAGAATTCTTATATGACTATTCTTTTCTTTTAGTACTTTAAAATATGTTATCCCATTGCCTTCTGACCTCCATGATTTCTGATGAGAAATCATCTGATAATCATACCCAGGATCCTTTGTTCTTAATGAGTTGCTTCTCACTTGCTGCTTTTAAGATTCTTTGTCTTTATCAGTTTCACTGTACTCCGTCTTAGTGTGAATCTCCTTGAGTTTATCCCACTTGGAGTTCATTGAGTTTTCTGGATGTGTAGACATGTCTTTTTATCAAATTTGGGAAGTTTCTTCAAATAATTGTTTTCTGACCCCTTCTCTCTTTTCTCCTTCTGGGACTCCCATGATGACTACACTGATATGTGTGATAGTGTCCCACAGGTCCCTAGGTTCTGTTCATTTTATTTCGTTCTTTTTCTTTCTGCTTTTCAGACTGGTTAATTTCAACAGCCTTTCTTCATGTTACAGATTCTTCTGTCTGCTCAAACCTGAAGTTGAACCCCTCTAGTGATAGCAAAGACTCAAGGAGGTAAAGTGAAAGGACAGACAAAGATTTTCCATGAAAATAGTAACCAAAAGAGAGTTGAAGAGATTATATTATTATCAGACAATACTTGAAATTATAATATGTTATGTATTTGTATATTAAAAGAGACAAAAAGAACATTGCATGTTGATAAAAGTTTCACCCATCAAGAATGCATAACAATTATAGACATATATGCGTTTAACATCAGTGTCCCAAAATTTATGAAGCAAAAATTTACAGAATTGAAGGAAGATACAGACATTTCAACAATAATACTTGGATACTTCACTACTCCTCTTTCAAAAAGATGCTAGAATGACTAGAAAAAGGATCAAGAAGAAAGAGGGGACTTCATTAATACTATAATCCCATCTGAAATGGTTTCTTAAAAATAACACTAAAAGCAGAGGCAACAGCAAAAAATAGACAAATTGATTAAAATTGAAAGCTTTGTTCATCAAGGAACACTGTAAAGAGAGTGAAAAGATAACCTACAGAGTGACAGAAAATATTTTCAAATCATATAATTGATAAGGATTTAACACCCAGAATATATAAGGAAATCTTATAACTCAACAACAAAAAGACAAACAATCCAATTAGAAAATGAGCAAAGGACTTGAATAGACATTTTTCCAAAGAACATATATCAATGGCCAATAAGCATGTGAAAAGATGCTCAACGGTATTGGTCATTAAGAGAATACAAATCAAAATGATAAAGAGATACCACTTCACACCTTCTAGGATGGGTAATAACTAAAATGGGAAAAAAATCAAGGGTTGGAGAGGATGTGGAGAAACTGCAACCTTTGTTGGGAATGTGAAATGGTATGGCTAATGGAAATAGTTTGGTGGTACCTCAAAGAGTAGAGCGTAGACTACTGTATGGCCCAGCAATTCCTCTCTGGGGTATTCGCCGAAAGAACTGAAACAGAGATGAACAGGTAGCTATATCCCATGTCCACTGCAGCATTTGCGGCAGCATTTGTTTCTGCTGCAGCATACTCTCCCTCACGTAACAAACTGCAGCATTTGCTTCTAGGCAGAAACAGCCCAGTGTCCATCAACAGAAGAACGGGAAAACAAAATATGGTCTATACAGATAATGGAATATCATTCAGTGATTAAAAAAAAAAAAGAATGCAGGTATGGTACATGTTACAACATGGGTGAACCTTGAAAACATTGTGCTAAGTGAAATAAGCCAGACACGAAAGGACAAATGTTGTGTGATTCCACTTAGGTGAAATATCTAGACTAGGCAAATTCATAGAGACAGAAAGCAGTTGGGAGTTGACCAGGGGCGGAGGGAGGAGGAAAAACGGAGAGCTATGGCTTAATGGGTACAGAGTTTCTGTTTGGGGAGATCATTTTTTGGAACTAGGTAGTAGTGATGGTTGCACAATATAGTGAATGTAATTAATGCCACTGAAATGTACACTTAAAAGTGGTTAAAATGGCAAATTTTACCACAATAAAAAAAAAAGTGAATCAGGAAAGGGGAGAGGTTGATCCTTCAGGGGAGGTTGAGGTCTCTCGCTGGAGATGATGGCTGGGCTTCTGGACACGGGCCCCTCCTCTCAGAGCTAGAATCCTCTCCACTCCAGGGCAGCCTCGGGCCCCTCTTCTCTGTATCACTCTTTGACCCTCTACAGGTCTGACCCACTTTTCCCTTATCTTCCTCCCGTGGCAGATGGCATGAGCTTTCACTGCAGGCTGTCCTCTCACTGTCCTGTTACTTCTGCTCCCGTTTGATTGTGTCATCTACTGACCGTGAGCTCGCTGAGTTCAGGGATTAGGGCTTGCTTCTTTGAGTGTCCGAGGTCTAGGGCAGTGCTGTCCAGTGCGGTAGTCAGTGGGCCCATCTGACTTTTGAGCACTTGAAATATGGCTACTCCGAATCGAGCTGTGATGAAAGTGAGAAGGGAGAAATATACTCTAGATTCTAAGAGAGGTTATGAAAAAATAACGTAAAGTATCTCAATGTTTTATACTGATTGATGTTAAAATGATATTAATTGGGATATATAAGGCTAAATGCATTATTAAAAATAATATGACCCTTTATTTTTGCCTTTGTAACGTGGTAACTATAAGTTCGTATTTCCTATTGGATTGGATTGTAGCTCTGTTGGCAGCGCTGGCCTCAGGTGTGCGGGGGGTGCAGAACTGGTGAGCTGACTGATGCCAGTGGAGTGGATTTCCGTTAGAGTTCCACAGATGGCTGAGAGAGGCATTCTCTGGCCACCACTGCCAGCCTCTGGGAATCCTGTGGGGATTCACTCACCAGCTTTTCTCTCCCTTCCCAGGATCCCATGTGTCAGAAGACAGTAGAGATTGTACACCGTGCACAAATGGAGCGGGTCACACAGTCATTCAGACGCCTGCCCTGCTTGCTGACTTTGTATGATTTGCAATCAGGTAGAGAACATGTGGACCCCATGCCTACAGTTAGGGTGCCGGATGATGAGATGTGAATTGTCTCCAATGGGGAGTCAGAAAGCTGATTTCTAGCTCAGCTTGGTCTTCATCATACCCTGTTTTGTGATTATGTCTTAGGTCAATAAAATAAAATGAAGACAGAAATTATTTTTATAATGTATGCCATACAGTAGGGAAATCTTTTAGACCATCAGTTGGAAGAAGGGTAATAATCTTTCCCTTGAGAAGGAGGCCAGTATAGTCACAACAGTGAACAGGCCAGGCCTAGTGGAGAAGGCTAGGTTTGAGCTGAGACGTCGGTCTGGTCAGTGCCAGGCCCTCCTTAGCCCTCTGCTCTGTGCTCCTGGAGGGGGCTCGACTCTCTCAGCCTCGTGGCCTAAGGCTGCCCTATGTCTGCAGCAGGACCAGGTTTGGGAAGTCACCCAAGGGTTCCTGTCCATCCAGGGTCTATGAGATTTTTTCCCAGCCCTTGCTCCTGCCTGTGAGCTAAAGGATTTTTCCTTTCAAACGTGATGCTTGAAACATGTTCCTTTTTGTATGACTCTGAGTGTTGGTGACAGGTGAATGGTGGCTGTCTTTTGTGTGCCCCACGTGTGTTGCTGCAGAAAATTGCCCCCAAAATTAGTCAACTGAGTTAAGCTGAGTGGAAGGGGTTTGAGTGGAAAAGAACTGAGGGATGTGAGGGAAACATGTGGCCAAATCTTTGTCCTTTGTCTCCAGGTGAACAGGAGAGAAGTAAATGCACCGGGACCAGAGAAACGGAGTGTCGGTGCAAACGTGGCACTTTCCACGGAGAAGATTTCCCCGAGGTCTGCCAGACGTGCAGCAGCAGGTGAGACGAGGAGCCGCCGAGGCTCCCAGCCCACAGAAGACGCAGGTTCCCCCACCCTCTCTCTGTCCTCGTCCATGCAGCCCCTCTGCCTCCCCAGGGTTCCCTGTGCCTGTGGGGTCTTCTGAGCCTGCATCGGCGCTCGTCATCCATCAGCGTGCCCCCACCCTGGCCCCTGCAGTGTCCCCTTCCCCGATCTCACAACGTGTTTGCCCTGCGGCCGGGTAAAGTTTTCCACGGGGCACAGTGGGCCGCTATGTAGGGCCTGTGATGCTGTCAGTGGCCCCAGAAAATGTTTAGTTTCTTCTGAAATCACAAGGGAAAACTGAGTGGAGTGCAGCTGGGCTTGTCTTCTTCTTTACAACAATTGCGTCATCAAGCGTGATTTTTTAAAAATTTTTATTTTTTTAATTTATTTTTATTAAGGTTATGATAGATTACAACCTTGTGAGATTTCAGTTGTACATTATTGTTCGTCATGTTGTGGGAACACCACTTCACCCTTTGTGCCCTCCCCCCCCCCACCCCCCCCCCGCTTTCCCCTGGTAACAACGGATCAGTTCTCCTTGTCTATATGTTAACTTCCACCTATGAGTGGAGTCATAGAGTTCGTCTTTCTCTGTCTGGCTTATTTCGCTTAACATAATACCCTCAAGGTCCATCCATGTTGATGCGAATGGGACGATTTTGTCCTTTTTTATGGCTGAGTAGTATTCCATTGTGTATATATACCATATCTTCTTTATCCAATCATCAGTTGCTGGGCACTTTGGTTGGTTCCACGTCTTGGCTATTGTAAATAATGCTGCCATGAACATAGGGGTCCATGGGACTCCTGGAATTGCTGATTTCAGGTTCTTAGGATAGATACCCAGTAGTGGGATGGCTGGGTCATAAGGTATTTCTATTTTTAACTTTTTGAGAAATCTCTATACTGTTTTCCATAGTGGCTGCACCCGTTTGCATTCCCACCAACAGTGTATGAGGGTTCCTTTTTCTCCACAACCTCTCCAAAATTTGTCACTCTTGGTTTTGGATATTTTTGCCAATCTAACCATCAAGCGTGATTTTTAATATTATTTTTATGCAGGCAGGGCCTGTGAACATGAACGTGCCCACAGCCGAGCCCCCGTGAGACCTAGCCTGTGGCTCCTTCCTGGTTCCAACAAAGTCCTGAGCTGACTCAGCCTGCCTGGCCCAGGCCTCTGTCACCCCAGTAAGACGTGCGTTTCCCTATTACTGGGATTCAGGATCTAGCAGTAATTTCCTGTTCTCTGACCCTGGTGTTGGCCGCGATTGGTAGGAATAGTCAGCACGGGGAGGACAAGACGTTCCTTGTATTAAAGGTTGATGGAGGATGAGGTTCAGCTGGTGCCTAAAGGGCTTCTGACCCTTGACCTGGGTGAGACGCCCCCTCATGCAGGGCTCCACCCGCAGCCAGGGAAGCTCAGCTTGCAGAGAAGTCGCAGCCCCTGCAGGTGCAGCTCTGAACACTCAGCAGGGGCCCCAGGGGCTGAAGTGCACATGCTCAGATCCTCTGGCACCCAGCAGGGGAGTGAGGGGCCCAGGGCCTGCAGACAGGAGAAGGCCGCTCTTCCTCCACTCTTAGGGACATTGGGCGGGAGGTTGTGCCCTCTTTCTCCTCCTCTTGCCAGCTCTCTCTCACCGATCCCCTCCATGTCCTTTCTGTGTCTGTGCCCAGGTGCCCTGATGGGATGGTTGAGGCCGGTCCCTGTACCCCCTGGAGTGACCTCAAGTGTGTCCACCAAGGATCAGGTACCCAGGCCAGTGGGGAGGCCCCGGTTCCTGGAGAGCCAGTGACCGTGGGGCTACCCACTACTCCCGCTCCCTCCTCAGGCAATCCATGGCTGGTGATTGGGATTGTAGCTGTGGCTGTGGCTGTGGCTGTCCTGCTGCTGGGGCTGACTGTGTATCTTTACCGGAGGCGCATCCTTCAAGGTGAGGTGGGCGGGGAGGCGCTGACGCTCTCTGCCTCCCTCACTCCCCGCTTTGTTTCTCCAGACAGAAGGGCCCTCCCCTCCAACTCCCAAACCCCCTGGTCTTTCTGGTCTCGCTCTGATCTTGTTCCTGTCATCTCCCTCCATCTCCCACCTCACCTGCACCTCACGAGGGCCGAGATCACATCAGTGCCCTCTTCTTGGGGCTGACGGTCACCTCCTGTCCCTAGATAAGTCCAGAAGGGCAGAGCCAGTTCTTCATGCCTTCGGGCCCCGGCCAGGGCAGAGGGGCGGTCCGCTCCTCGACTGGGTACCTGGACTCAGGAGGAGAGGGTCAGGGGTCTGCACAGCTTTGGTCAGAGCAGAACCCAACAGAGATCTATATGTGTTTATTTTTATTTCCCCGTCCCCCAGGGTGCCTGGGGTTGGAATGGCCCCCTCCTGTCACCAGGCCCGGGGCTCCTTGTTTGGTGTCTGAGCCCCCAGCCCACACCCTGCCCCTGCACTGTCCATGGACAGGGAGGCGCTGCAAAGAGGCCTCTCCATGGCTAAGGCGGACGCCCCTTCTCTTCTAGGTTGTGAAGTGGCTGCCAACTGCATAAACAGAGTGAGCTGGTTTCTCCAGGACCTAGCAGCGTCAGGCCCTCTGGAACCTCTTCCCGCCCACAGCAAGCCCTGGGTGGATGTGGTCCCCATTGTCCTGTACTGCTGCCCCTGGCTCTTAAAGTGGCCTGGGGGCCTGGGCTGACCATAAGAGGTCAAGTGGCCCGTTGTGAGCAGCCCCCAGGCCTGTTGGCAGTGCCGAGTCCTGTCCTTCCTGCTGCTTGTGAGACGCCCTCACCCCACGGCCCTGCCCCCTGGGCATCGGGGGCGTCAGGCAGAGGTGCCGACCCTCGAGTCCTGGATGTGCTGAGCCTGGGCCAGCCTGGGGGACAGCGTGGGAGGGGATGGGGGGAGAGCCTGCCGTGTCCCCTGGGGCCCTGCAGGGGGCTGTGGGTGAGGACCCCTGAGACAGCTCTTTGCCTTCCCAAGGTCTTTTTCTGGCGCTCCTGTCCCCCAAGAGGACCTGAGGCTCTGGACAACGCCTACAACAAGACCCTGAACAACAGAGAGTCGTCGTCCACCCTGGCTTCTGAGCAGGAACTGGAAGGCAAGGAGCAGGCAGAGCCGACAGGTGTCAGCGCACAGTCCCCAGGGGAAGCAGAGTGTCTGCTGGTGAGTGGGTGATGGGCCATGTGGCGCCCTGGCCCTTCTGCTTGCCCAGGACCGTGGTAGGAACAGGGAAAGGCTGGCGCTGGTCAGCTCTCCTGTCCATGGGAAGTAGTGATGGAGGGAGATCCGGACCCGAAGGGGAGGAGGCTGCGTGTGCAGGAGCCCGCCACCCGGATATGGTAGAGTGTCAGCCCCGTGGACTGTGTGGGTCTTCCTATCTGTCCACGTCTCACTGGACAGCCTGGGACAGGCAGGCACAGAGTGGGTGCTCCTGTGATTGCTGAGTGATGGGAGGGGGGCTGCATAATATTCCAGCATATGTGCTAGTAAAATAATTCAGTCAGCTGTTCCTGTAGCAGTAGGAAGTTTTACGTTTATTTCAAAATAAATTATTATTCCAGTGAGGGTACTTGAAAAGAAATCTTTGTCCAGATTTCTGATCTTTTTGTAGAGCTGTTCTGGAAGAAGTAGAATCGCTGGGTGAATGTGTCGAAGTACTTTTTCATTTCACAGACACACACACAGCGGGGCGCTCTACACACACACACACGCACACACCCATGGTGTTGGTCATATGGGTTCATCAATCTTGGTCTGACACTGAGTGCTTTTCTTTCGTCATTTTTGCTAAGAAACGTTGGCTTGAAGCCACACTTCCTTGCTCTGACTGTGCTGCATGTGGTTGTGGCTCTGTCTCCCGGAGTCCTTCTGAGAGCTCGGGTTCCGTTCCCTTCCTACGTGCAGATGATGGGACCCTGCTTGCCCTCTCGTCTGGTCTAATGTTATAACTGTCTATCACTGTCGGCACGTTTACTTTGTCGTTGCTCAGAAGCTTAGAAAGACTCTTCCCTCACACAGGGTGAACTTCTCTAATTTCTCAGGCAGTCTTTTAAATGATTTTATTTTCACCATAAAGCTATGTAATCTTCATGGAATTTATTCTGAGACACAATATGATGTAAGGAGCTCCCTGAATTGTTCTGTGTCTCTGGCTCATTGGACACAGAGAATCACAACTTACCAGTGCAGAAACTTCCAAGGGAATAAGAAATAAACTATAGGAAAAGAAACAATCCAGTTAAACAAGGGCAAAAGATCCAAACAGACACCTCACTGAAGAATGTATACAGATGGCAAATAAGCATTTGAAAAGATGCTCCATATCTTATGTCATTGGGATAAAGCAGATTAAAACAACACTGAGATACCACCAAACATGTTTCAGGTTTTTTAAGTTTGTTCAGCCAAACTTAGAAGATCCAGGACATGCCAACACCAAACACAGGTGAGGATGTCGACCAACAGGAACCCTCATTCATTGCTGGTGGGAACGCGAAATGGCACAGCCGCTCTGGAAGACAGTTTGGCAGTTTCTCACTAGACTAAACCTAGTGTTACCAGAGGATCTGGGAGTCACGCTCCTTAGTATTTACCCAAATGAACTGAAAACTTATGTCCCCACAAAAACCTACACACGGTATTTATAGCAACTTTATTTATGATTACCAAAACTCGCAAACAACCAAGATATCCTTTAGTAGGTGAACGGATCAGTAAACTGTGGTACACCCAGATAATGGTTTATTATTCAGCAGTTAAAAGAAATGACTTATCAATTCATGAAGAGACATGGAGGAACCTAAAATGCACATTCTGGAAAAGGCAAAACTGTGCACCAGGGTTTAGGCGCGAGAGGGGATTGAATAGGTCAAGCCCGGGGTTTGGGAGCAGAGCAGTTATGCTGCAGTCAGTGTGGTCGTGGCTATGCGTCATTGTGTTTGTCCAAACCCGTAGAATGGACGGCTCCAGGAGTGACCCTAACGTACTGGGTGGACTCTGGGTGATTATGGTGTCGTCCAGCAGGTTCACAGATGGTAACAAATGTCCCCCTCTGGTGCGGGACGTGGACAGTGAGTGAGGCTGTACTCACGTGGGAGCAGAGAGGAGATGGCAACTCTGTACTTTCCACTCATTCTGCTGTGAGCCTGAAACTGGTCTAAAACAGTAAAGTCCATTTGAAAGGGAAAAAAAGTATTTTAAGTCAAGTATTTTATTATAATCCAGTAAAAATTTGCATTTTCTTCACATAAATTATTCCTGTTTTTGTCAAGAGTGTTTCGTTGTATTTGATGTGTTTATGTGTTTTATAATCATTATGCTTTGGATCTCATGTAACTCCATTTCCAACTTATTGTTTCTCCTCATTTGTTTTCTAAGCATTCATGCAAACGCCTTCACTTTTAGCTATTGTAGTTTAACCTTAGAGGGTTTTTTTTTTTTTGGTGAAGCAGATTGCCCTGATCTATTGCCGGTCTTCCTCTGTTTTGTATGTGGGATGCTGCCACAGCATGGCTTGATGAGTGGTGTGTAGGTCTGCGCCCAGAACCCCAGGCCACCAAAGCGGAGTGCGTGAACTTAACCACTATGCCACTGGGCCGGCCCCAACCTGAGAGTTTTTTAAATATACAAACTTATCTAAAATAATGAATATTTCTTCTGCTCTCTCCCAAGAGTCTTGACTCTTATTTTTCTTTCCTGCCCAGGTTGCATGGGCCACAACATTCAGAACAACGTCCAATGATGCTTCGAGAAGGCAGGCATTTTGGTCTTTTTTTTAAAAAAAAAAAAATTTGATAGATTTTATTTTGTAGAGAAGTTTTAGGTTCACAGCAGTGTTGAGCAGAAGGTAGAAAGATCCCCATGTGCCTCCAGTCCCCACACATGCATGGCCTTCCCCGTTGTCAACGTCTTCCGCTAGAGTAGTACATTTGTTAGAAATGAGGAATCTATACTGACCCATTTTGAATCATTTTTCTTTTGCTAACAGAACCCACTTTAGTATTTCTTTCAGTTTAGATTTGTTGGCAAATTATTGTCTTAATTTTTGTTATCTGAAAAAGCTTTTATATTCTCTTCATTTTTAAAAGACATACTGGCTGTTTAGAAAATTCTGGTTGTATTTATTTTCGGTTCTTTAAAGGCATCGTTTCACTCTATTCTGGATTCTATCACTCTTATTGAGAAATTAGCTGACAACCTCACTGCTTTTTTGACAATAATATTATTTATTCTCTGGCTGCTTTTTAAGTATTTTTAATTGTTTTTTTAAAAAATTTTTATTCTTTCTTTATTGGTAACATGGTTTAGAACATAATATAAATTTCAGGTGTATATCATTACATTTCAGTTCCTGTGTAGACTACATCATGTTCACCACCCAGAGACTAATTACCATCCATCACCACACATTTGTGCTTAATCACTCCTTTCACCTTCCTCCCTCACACTTTCCCCTCTGATAACCACCAGTCCGATCTCTGTCTCTATATTCGTTTATTGTTGTTGTCATTGTTGTTTTTATCTTCTACTTATGAGTGAGATCATACAGTATTTGACTTTCTCCCTCTGTCTTGTTTCGCTCAGCATAATACCCTCAAGGTCCATCCATGTTGTCACAAATGGTCAGATTTCCTCCTTACTTATGGCTGAGTAGTATTGAATTGTGTGTATACACCACATCTTCTTTATCCGTTCTTCCCTTGATGGGCACCTAGGTTGCTTCCAAGTCTTGGCTATTGTGTATAATGCTGCAATGAACCTAGGGGTGCATATATCTTTACACATTTGTGTTTTCAAGTTCTTTGGATAAATACCCAGCAGTGGAATAGCTGGATCGTATGGTAGATCTATTCTTAATTTTCTGAGGATACTCCATACTGCTTTCCATAGTGGCTGCACCAGTTGGCACTCCTACCAGCAGTGTATGAGAGTTCCCTTCTCTCCACATTCTCTCCAACACTTGGTGTGTCCTGTCTTGTTAATTGTAGCCATTCTGGTGGCGGTGAGTGATATCTCATTACAGTTTTGATTTGCATTTCCCTGATAGTTAGTGATGTCAAACATCTTTGCATGTGCCTGTTGGCCATGTGGATATCTTCTTTGGAGAAATGTCTGTTCAGATCTTTTGCCCAGGCATTTGGTCTTGATTGGCCTTTGTGTAGGAGGCCTCCCATGTCACCATTGGAAATGACGTTGGCCCTTGTTTAGTATGGGAATTCTCATCATTATGGATGCAGCCTCCTATTCTGAGGTGTCTTAAAAATCTGAGTTGATGTTTAATTTAAAAAAATGTCTTTTTAGCCTCCATGGAGAGTACCTGATGCTTTCATTTCCTTATTTAGACTATTGATATGGTACCATATTATTGATGAAAGCACCTTCACATTCATCGAATAAATGCCCACTTGTGATTTTCCAAATTGCCCTCATCTATCTTCTTCCTTTGAGTCACATAAAAGCCTGTGGCGGGCTGACTCTTTTGATGGGGTGGGTGGGGATGGACTGCACGGGGCAGAAGGGAACTGTGTGGGGTGGAGAGAATGTTCCATGTCTTGATTGGGTGATGGTTACTTGGGTGTATACAGTTGTCAGAGCTGGAACGACACTTGAGAAGTGGGCATTATGCAGGTAGGGTGGGCCTCCGTGAGCACACAAGCACACGCAGCCTGAGAGCTGCACGGAGTGGGAGGTTCCTCTCCATTTCCATGGAGACCCGGGAGGCGAGGTGGCTGCCCCAAGCCACACGGCTGGCTGGTTGTCAGGCCCAGGTCTGAGATCTAGGACTCTTTGTCTCGACCCGAGGGCAGTCTCCACTGTATTTCACAGGGACCTGCAGGAGCTGAAGGGTCTCAGATGAGAAGGAGGCTGCTGGTTCCAGCCAACGGTGCAGACCCCACTGAAAGTGAGTGTTTTGTTCGGGGCAGTGGAGGGAAGAGGGTCAGTATCCTTCCTGCTGTGTCTTAGCTGTTAGGGAAGCACAGAGCAGGGGATGCTGGACACAGGGGGCCTATGCTGATTGTCACTGGGCCATCGGGACCCTTAATCCTCCTCTCCCACCTCTTCCCCCCACTGCACCCCATCCCATCTCATCCCAATAACATTCTGCACCTCCCTGTCCCTCCCTCTTCCACCTCCCCTTCTCCTCCCTTGTTGTTCAGGGCCAGGTTCCCCCACACTGAGGACACCTAAGGGGCAAATCTGACCAGCAGGGCACCCACTGGCCCCAGGCGGCTACCGAGCACCTGACCTGTGGCTAGGCCAAATTGGATGAGCTTTACTGTAAACTCCATGCCATATTTCAAAGGATTAGTACAAAAGAAGTGTGCAAAATGTCTCATTAACAATTTTTCAATGTTGATTATATTTTGAAATGAAAATATTTAGAATATATTGAGTACTATACATTATTAAAATTAGTATTACTTGTTTCTTTTTATTTTTTGAAATGCAGCTGATAGAAAATATGAAGTTATATTTGCAGCCCACCTGTATTTCTGTTGGACGGCAGTGTGCAGAGCATTTCACACATGTCTCATTTAATGCCCAGTACGGTCCCATGAGTTGGGTGGTGTCTGCTCCATCTCACAGGTTAAATTCTTGCTCAGAGTCTGTCTGTCCCCATCTCGCTCTGCCACAGTGTTGGTGACAGAGGCCAGGCCAGGTGTAAAGCCAGAGACCTTGCTGCCTCCAGGCCTCGCTCTGTCCACAGGGGCAGGTGTGGCAGTCCTGGGATGTCCCTCGCATGGTGGGCACACCCTGAGCGGGTTCCCTCCTCTGAGGACCTTTTCCCCTCTGTCTCACACCACGTTCTGCTTTCTCCCTCCATGACGTCCGTCTCCCCTCCCAGGTGGGCTCTCAGCCTCCCTTAGGGCAGGATTCTCTGTTGACCTTGGCTCCCCGCAGTGACCTGGGCCCAGGTGGGGCCCAGGCAGCGTGACCTGATCCTCTGCTGATGGGAAGCAGGGAAGGGAGGCAGAGCAGCAGGCTCAGAGCAGGGGGAGCGCAGAGGTTCCACCAGGTTCCATTAGGTCTGGGCCTGACTGAGGGTCCTCTGCCCTTTCTGTAGGCGGCCCAGCTCACCTGACTGTCCCTGTGCTTTCCCCACCTAGGCCTGCGGCTGTTCTTCAGTTACTTTCCAATCATCGTGCCCTTTGTTCAAATCCTAGAAGCTGTTCATGCAGCAGATGAGCCTCATGGACAGTGAGATCCCTGCATCCAGAGCTGGAGCCTCGGGCCCACAGGATGCCCTGTGTGAAATACCGGTGACCTGGCTCAACAGTACGGGGCGAGGTGCCTCAGTCAGCACCCTGCTGGATGCCGTGGAAACCTGGGAGGGAAGGAGAAACACAAAGGAGACAATTCAGGACCACCAGGTAGGCTCAGGAAAATCTGTGTATGAAAAGGCTCTGCTGTGCACTGAGTGTTTAGGACCTCATGCTTTCAGTTCCTGGCACTGTTTTATCCTAATAGACGCGCTTTTTACTTGTATTTGTTATATGGTAAGATGATTCCATGTTGGTATGTATGTATTTAACTATGTGTAACTATTGCTTAATGCTTTATGATGTGCATCCTACTTTCAATTTTTGTATGTATTTATAGAGCATGGAAGAAAATTGTAGACATATACTCACTTGGTTGTTTACATGGGTTACCCGGATGAGAGTTGGCAATCAAAAACAAGGAGAAATGCAAAAGGAGAGGGAGGGAAAAAAACCCGACCTCTGTTGGGGGCACTGGTGGGTTCCAGTTCTCCCTCATACACACTTTGAGCTTGTTGTCCAGGATTAGATGACCGGCAACTTCTAAAGAGCCCACTCTTTTCAACATGGCAGTTTCCTCTGTGTGTGAATATTTATGTTAGTTACAGGCACATGTTCGCAAGAGAGCAGAGAGGGGAGAAGTGGTATTGCGTGCAGCCCTGTGTCTGGGCACTGGGCGGCCATGCATGGCCTCCTGCTCCCCGTCGGTGGGTGCTGGGGGGAGGCTGGGAGTGGGTTGGATCCGAGGGGGCAATATGCTCTATGTCATGTGCCATTTCAGGTCACGTTAGTGCACCCTCAGCCCTGTCTGGGCTCAAGGGAGAGAACGGGGTCTGCTCCTGGGGTCTGCCGCGTGCTCGTGGGTTGTGCTAAATGTCTGCTGACTCAGCACTGGATGTCCTCTCACTTCTTGGTCTTTTTGGTGCCTTTTTGGGTCTGGATTGGCTATTTAAGGATCTTAGCTCCTCTGTAAGCCTCTGCTTCCTGCATGGAAGACTCACATAGAAATACCAATTTCTAAATATTGTGAGATTTGGCCCAAAATGACTGATACATGAGGGTTATGTCCTTTTATTGCTTTATCTTATTTTTTTAATCCTCGGTAACCACTTTAGCTCTTCTTCCACTTGTTAAACACAGAGACCAGACTTGAAAATTCTCTGAGCAGACCAAATGAATTTGGGCATACAAGCAAAGCTTAAGTTAGCTTATTTTTCAAGACAGGCGAGGCTAATTTAACCTGAGTGACCTCTTGCTGATGATGCCTCTGAAAATCATAAGCAAAAGTTAGTTTGTTCCCCAGAATTGCTAGGAGGTGACGGATAACCAGTCCCCTTTCACTTAGGAAAATTCTCATGTGGTAATCCCTCACTGTGAAAAGCCGACTGCGCCTTCCTCTGCCCTGTTTAAGCTGCTTTGTAGCTGCGTGCCTCTGAGCCTCTGCTCCCTCGTGGTGGGTTCCAATGCTCTCGCTTTGCAAACTATCTTTTTTGGTGTGTGCACCGTAAACTTTTACAAATTACTACAGTGATTCTTTGATTTTACTTCTGCTTTTTCCTGAACTTCTGACACACTGCACCCTTCTCCATCGTATTACAGTCGTGGCAGGAGAATATTACGGAGGAAGCGATTCTCAGGGTTTGTGGTCTTTCCCATCTCGAGACAGGATACTGTCTTCTTCCGCGGCTGGTGTGGCCGGGCTAAAACTGGAACTGCTTGGACTTTGGGGCGTGTTCAGGGCATGATATCCTCTGGAGTTTTTAGAGAGGGGCGACCCCGTGGCCTTGGTTCTTACACCGCTCTCCCACTTCCTTCCCGAGGTCCCATGGTGTGCCCCTCCCTTTGCTGAAAGACGTAGGTGTTTCCTGCCTTCGCCGGCCCTTCAGTGCAGGACGCCCGCCCGTGCATCTCTAGGTGGAGATAGGAGCGATACTTGTTGGTCACGTTTCAGCAAACTGGTCCCTTTCTCAGAGGACTTCCCTAAGCGCCCAGTAAAGTGTCATGTGTATTCATGTGTTCATGTGTCTACTGTGTGTCTTGTACCAGAGGGAATCTTCATGGAGGCCTGAAATGGTCTTCTTATTGCTTTATCCCCAGTACAAAACTTTTAAGTTTTACTTAATGGGTGGGGATCCTTTCAAGCTTCTCCCACTGGGAAGACTCCTTCTTTGAAGAGCTTGTTGGAAATATCAAAGAATACGAGGAAGGCCGTTAGGTACAAAATACTCATGTATTTATGAACTCATGACCAAATTAAATATGAAAGCTTATATAAAAAGAGGTGTGGGTTTTTTCTCCCCCATCCCCCCATTCTCCTCTGAAGCAGCTCCGAGTGACACAAGTGCAAGGGTGTGTATTCTTGCTGTGGGACTTGCTCCTTCCCTTCTCCCCTCTGTGCCTCCAGGCTTGCCCTGCATGGGTGGGTTTCCTGTTGACTCTGGATCTCCAAGTGCCAGGTTCCTGAGGAACTGGAATTCAGCACCTTGCCCCTCCTTCACCTCCCTGCCCTTCCCGCTGGGAGAGGGACACTAGTCCTGGCCTGGCTCCCCCACAGCCTCCCCAGGTGGTGTCTCTGGGTTGCACCTGGGCCTGCTGGGCTCCAGTGTGGTGCAGGCTGGCTCTGACACAGCATTTGGGAAGAGGGGGTGGGTCCCTGGCTGCTGAGGTCATTCTGTGGCCCCTCTCCTGTGGGCTTCCTGCACCTCCTGGGCCACCCTCACTTTCTCTCCCCTCTGGCCCTTCTGCATCCTCATCAGTGGGCCAGATGGCTCAGCCCTGAAAGCTCCCAGAGACCCATTTCCCCTCCTCTTGCTCTTTAGGCCCCGGCTCTCCCTCTCACCCAGAGTTCCTGGGAGGCGCCATGGTCCTGACTCTTTCTAATTCCACGTGGCAGTGAATCATAAGGCATGTGTTTACACAAGGAGATAATCACAGGGAACACCCAATTCATTTTCCTGAGCATTGACTTACAGGAAATAAACGATTTCCTCTAGAACAGAGCAGTTTTAGGTTCATGGCAAAGTTGGGTGGAAGGACAGACATTTCCTCTATACTTGCAGTTCCCACAACATTTCACAGTAGAGTGGGACATTTGTTAGAGTCGATGATCTACAGTGACACATCATCATTAACCAAAGTTCAGAGTTGACATTAGGGTTCACTCTTGGTGTTTTACATTCTACGGTTTTTGGCAAATAAACAATAACACCTATCCACCATGATAGTATCATACAGGATAGTTTCAGTGCTCTAAAATTCCTCTGTGTTCCACCTGTTCATCCCTCCCTCCCCCCAAACCCTGACAACCACGCAGCTTTTTACTGTCTCCATAGTGTTCTTTTTCCAGAATGTCATGTAGTTGGAATCATACAGTATGTAGCCTTTTCAGGTTGGCTTCTTTCACGTAGTAATGTGCATTAAGTTTCCTCCATGTCTTTTCATGGCTTGATAGCTCATTTCTTCATGTCGCTGAATAATATTTCATTGTCTGGATGGACCACAGTTTATTTCTCCATTCACCTACTGAAGGACATCTTGGCTGCTTCCAAGTTTTGGCAATTATCGATAAAGCTGCTATAAACATCCATGGGCAGGCTTTTGTGTGGAAATATATTTTCAACTCATTTGGGTAAATTTCAAGAAGTGCAATTTCTGGATTATGTGGTAAGAGAATGTTTAGTTTTGTGAGAAACTGCCGAACTGTCTTCCAAAGTGGCTGTACCATTCTTGTACTCCCATCAGCAATTAATCAGAGCTCCTGTGGCTCCACCTCCTTGCCAGCATTTAGAGTTGTCAGTATTTAGGATGTTTGTCATTCTAATAAATGTGTAGTAAAATCTCTTTGTTGTTTTGATTTGCAATTTACTAATGACATATGGTATTGAACATATTTTCATATACTTACTTGTCATTGATATATCTTCCTTAGTGAGGTGTCTGCTCAGATCTATTACCCATCTTTTAATCGTTTTTATTTTCTTATTTTTGAGTTTTAAGAGTTCTTTGTGTATTTTGGATAACAGTCCTTTGCCTGATGTGTCTTTTGCAAATATTTTCTCCCAGTTTGTGGCTTATTGTCTCATTTTCTTGACGGAGTTTTTCACAGATCAACAATTTTTTATTTTAATGATATCCAGTTACCAATTATTTTTATCATTGGATTGTGCCCTTGGTGTTGTGTCTAAAGTCATCACATCCCTGAGGCCATCTAGGTTTTCTCCTACGTTATCTTCTAGGATTTTTATAGTTTTGAGTTTTATGTTTAGGTCTACAATCCATTTTGAGGTAATTTTTGTGAATAGTGTAAAATTCATGTCCACATTCAGGTTTTTCTGCATGTGGATGTCCAGTTGTTCCAGCACTATTTGTTGAACAATCTGTCTTTCCTCCATTGTATTGCTTTGTTTCTTTATCAAAGGTCAGTTGACTGGGGGCCGGCCCGGTGGCGCAGTGGTTAAGTTCACACATTCCGCTTTGATGGCCCCACGTTCGCCGGTTCAGATCCCAGGTGCGGACATGGCACTGCTTGTCAAGCCATGCTGTGGTAGGTGTCCCACATATAAAGCAGAGGAAGATGGGCATGGATGTTAGCCCAGGGCCAGTCTTCCTCAGCAAAAAGAGGAGGATTGGTGGCAGATGTTAGCTCAGGGCTAATCTTCCTCAAAAACAAACAAACAAAACAAAACAAAACAAAACAAGATCAGTTGACTGTATTTATGTGGGGCTATTTCTGGGCTGTCCATTCTGTTCCATTGATCTATTTTCTATTCTTTCACCAATGCCACACTGTCTTGATTACTGTAAAATTATAATAAATCTTGAAGCTGGCCAGTGTCAGTCCTCCAAATTTGTTCATCTCCTACAATGTTGTGTTGGCTATTCTGGCTCTTTTGCCTGTCCATATAAACTTTAGAATCAGTTTGTTGATATCCACAATATAGCTTGATGGGATTTTGTCTGGGATTATGTTGAATCTATAGATTAATTTGGGGAGAACCGACATCTTGACAATATTGTCTTCTTATCCATAAACA